CGATCACTTCCTGCCAAGGAGTGTGAATAGTATCTGGAGTGGCCTGCATCACTCGCCGAGGTTGACTCGGACTTGTACCGTTTGGGCGGGGGTGGAGAATGTATGGGAGGCAGGTGTCGCAGCCTGGCATCCCCGTTCGTAAACATTCTGGCGATGTGGGGTCAGACTGTAAGGCAATGTGTTGCTATCGGCGATCAATCAATGATGGCGCAAGATATGTAAGGCGGTTTCAGATCGACGGATCATGCCAGGTATAAAAATAAACAAGAATAAAAGAGCAAATCAGCTGCGCGCGGCGAAAAGCGCAGCGTAAGCCCACGAGCAAATGATGAGCTCGGGTTAAACGAGAGGTTCCGGCCGATTGCACGGTCGGGCGAAGCTCAGGGATTCGAATTTCCCAGGAACCGAGCACAAATCACAGGTCGATGTGCAGTCTCAGATCAGGTCCAACTCTATTTCCTGCAACTCCTCAGAAAGAGAAGGGAAGAGGAGGGTTTTAAGGTTGTGAAGCTGTGGTTTCCTTCCGTCGGGCCCACGGGGATAGCGGGGTGCGGGTATAAAGCGAGAGAATAAAAAGAAGCAGACAAGGATGAGGATAAGAGAAGGGGAATGAGAAGAAGTTGCAGAACTTGCAGAAGTACAATGGAAAGGGAAAAGTACGACCCGCGCTACCGGTACTGGCTGTTGGGTTTAAAGGATTTGTTCATGAATAGTTGGGTATTGACAATTCATTATTGTACGAAATAACTATACGAATAACTAGTAATAATATTATATTACCTCCAGCCTACAACATACACCACAACTACAACATATGTAGACCTTATGCAAGGCATCCCAGAGCAATGGTTGAAGGAAGGCTAAACCAATTAGGGCTTGGTTGATCCTGGTATAGTCTTTTGCTCTACTTTTGCTTCTTCCAGTTTTGCTTTTGCTTTCTTTGCTTTTGCTTCAGTATACATAATTCAACTCCTCATATTCGATACCGTACCCTCCGTACACTCCGTACCCCCGTAAGAGCTAGATCGACGTGGACCAAAAGGCGACCCACGCCCTAGCGGGATGCGGACCGTCTGGGCCTCTCATTTCCAGGGATTCCACTTGGTGAGGGCCCAACGGAGTGGTAAAAGGCGTCTAGTTACTTATTTGGTAACTTAGGGTAAGCGTGGCGCTGTTACTTGCTGTACTGTATTCTGGTATACTATACTAGGTACACTATGTACTACTATATATGTATCAATATCTACATCTCTGTGCCACCTCAATACAACATATACCTATGCCCTCCGACTCGTCATACAAGTCATCTTAAAAGAACCAACTCGTACAACGTCTGCATGGACTGATGAATCTCCCCTCACCGCAACCCAAAGCCCTGGGTCCGTGGATGCCACATTCGAGCGAATCAAGTAAGATACCACCTCTTGGCAGTAAGCTGCACCTCGGGGTAATCCATGGATTTATTCGTTTGTGATATGTAAGAATGACCCCAAGACCACTGCACTGGGTCCTGACTCGTGTCAAGTCTGTTGTTTGATTTCCTCCCAACCCTGCAATCTATATATATCCCCTACTGATATCTGCGTTCTACGTGTCAACATTCCCATCAAAACGATAGCCCAAGATGTTTCCCCTTTAGACCATTGGCTTCCCAGGCCACCGGTTCCACCCTGGCCCGAGCGCGGATTTCCGTTACTACTCCGTACTAATAAAACATCTCCCGGCCATTGTTGGGGATCTACCGAGTACTAGCCCTCTTCATAGGTTCCTCCGTACACAGAAATCATCCTAGCGCCGGTCAAACCCCGAGCGCGGTGCTCTCCTTGCAGGGTACATCCTCTGTACGGGAATATTTCAGAGTCCGTGCTGATCTTTCCTGTCATTGTTCACCAGCTCGTCATGGAGGATTGATCGACCGGCCTGCGCAACCCACACGCTTGGGACTGACAGACCATGGGATTGGGCTTCGCAGGAGTAGTGCATTGTCTCGGGGGGACTAACATCTAGCGTATGGAGTACGTACTTTTTTTGCCCCTGATTTTTGAATAGGAGATCTTTTTATTTCGTTTTACAAAGAAAGCCAAAGGATTATTCTTCATTCTATCGCTATATTTTATATTGAGTACATGTATGTACATATGTACCTAGACAGATTAACTAGTGACTCCGGACTCCGTAAGAACTACAGGATGTACATCGATGTGATCGTACTCCGACAGATATTGGCCCCACGTCCCGCCAGAAAAAAAATTCTAGCCAAACTCCGAACCTCATCCAAACGAATTGATTAAATTTCCACGCTAATAATACATAAAACCAAAAACCAGTACACACTGCACATCCATCCTCGGAGATAATCGATCACTCGGAAACTAATCGCTGCCCCTCGCATCAGCCACAGCGGGATCACCGATCACCCCAGAGATCAAAACATTTCTATATCAAACCCAAAAAATCCAGCCACACTGCAGACACCGGGACTAGCAGCTCCCCGGGAATTCAACAATGCACACCCTCAAAGCAGTGGCCTCATCGACTCTGTCGCTGCCGGCGGATAATTACATCTACTCCATCGTCCCTTCGGCGCCGGGGACATTCGCCGCCATCTCGTCAGATGATTCGCTGCGCATGTTTGACGCCGCCGATCTCGATCGCGGGTCCGTGGTCTCGACTGCTAGTCACAGCGGCGGTGTGACCGCGCTGCGCAGCTTCGCCATGGGTGAGTCGCACCTCTTGGCTACGGGTGGCCGCGATGGGAAGGTCAAGGTTTGGGATGTTCGGGCTGGGAATGGCAGTCCGGTTGTGGAGATGGAAACGGGTGAGTTTGTTCCAGTTAAGCTTTTTTTTATTGTTTTCTTTTTTGGATTTTATGCATTGATTGCCTCTTTGGGTTGTCTTCGGGAACCTGCTGGCACATGTGCGTTTTGTGTTTTGGTGCTGCATTTCCGCTGGTCTTTTACTGGGTTTCGGGGAATTTTTCGGCGCTTGGGTGCAAGGGTGGCGATGGCTTGGTTGGGGTTGTTGCTGCTTTCTGATTAAATGCTTATTTGCTAATACATTGTCTTATATGTTAGCCAAAAAGTCGCCGGTTCTGTCTGTGGCTTGTAACCCGGAGACGAACACTATTGTTGCGGGGACGGAACTTGTCTCTTCGCAGGCGGTTGTTGCATTCTGGTATGTTTCATCTATACCTCATTTTTATTTCTTAGGCCCAGTTTTATCATCGATAATTGCATCGGGATATGTCAGACAAAAACAGCTGTGCCAGACCCACTAACTCACACAGGGATATCCGCTCCCCCCAAGAATTCCGCCTCCAATACGTGGAGAGCCACAACGACGATATCACCGAGGTAAGTGCACCTCCATTAAGAATCAAGATTTTAAGCCCAACCCAACATACCCAACACCTACTCCAAACCCCACATGCAGCACCAGCCAGACTAACCATTACATCGGCACCTTGCCTGTTACCGGTGGTACACAGCTCCAATATCACCCGACGCGCAGCAGCATCTTACTCTCCGGCAGCACGGACGGCCTAGTCAACATCTACGATACGACCATAACCGACGAAGACGAAGCCCTGGTGCAAGTGATCAACCACGGCTCCGTTCATCATGCCGGCTTCCTGTCCGAGCGCACCATCTTCGCTCTCAGCCACGACGAGCACTTCTCCGTGTACCCAGCCACGGACCCAGACGATGCCTCGCAGGAGCCCGAGCCCGTGCATTTCGGTGACGTGCGCGACCCGCTAGGCTGCGAGTATGTTGCGCAGCTGTGTTTCGGTGCGCAGGGACCGTATATTGCCGCTGGGAATAAGATGTATGTTTATTTCTTGTTTTGTTTTGTTTTGGGGTTTTTTGTATTCGTGCTCGGAAGACGAAGTCGGACAGGCACACGTGCTGTTGTGTTTGGGTTTTCGTGGGCTGGGCTCGTGGGTGTTTGGATTTGCTAACTATGTCTTGCAGCGACAACCGTCTCGATCTTGTCCCACTTATTTCCAGCCCGTCGTGGAAGCTAGACCGGGATAATCTGTGGCGCTTGCCCCGTGCTCATTGCGAGGAGGTTGTACGCTCGGTGTATTTGGATGAACAGGTAAGTTTTCTAATACTAATTTTCTTGTTGTGTGTTATATCTGTTGGCCTGTTCTTGGCTTTCGTTCTTTATAACCCTCGCTAATGCAATTATGTCCTCTAGAGTCAATCCGTTTTCACCTGTGGTGAAGATGGCTTCGTGCGAGCATGGAGACCTGCAGAAGAGAGCGACGCTCCAGTCCAGTCTGGTTCTGCAAAGGCTCGCCCAAAGGAGAAGAAGAAGGATAGGTTCAAGCCGTACTAGTCTGTGTACTGTGTGCGGGTGAATGCATCTGCTGCTGACGGTTGTCTGTTGTGTATCGTTGGGTGTTTGGGGTGGGTAAAAATAGATCTGCAATTTGATGATATGAGTTATGTCTTTATTGTGGAATTGCTGTGCGTAGAAAAAGTTGGTTGTTGGGTTAGTAGTCTACATGTGGTAGGTTGAGATATATTACTGGACCATGACCTCTGTTAGGGTATAATGTTGAATTGAACCACGTCCATTCCGAGCACCAATGAGCATGATTTATATGGTTTTAGCTCTGGTTCTTTTTCTAAATCACAAATCACAAAAAAGAAACCAACTTTGAATTGAAGAAAATGCCAAAAAGGCGCCCAGGATTAAGCTCTATCGAATTGTGAACGAGATTCATAATTAGTAAACATAAATAAACAGTCAATTTATCCCTACACAACCTGACCCTTCAGGTGTCGAATCTTATCTCCAACATTTTTTTCCGTATCAAAACTTTTCTTGCACAAGGGACCAACAACCATAAATCCCCTCTCCTCCAATTCCACAACATACATACATACCCAAGTCAGAATCTCACACCCAAAACCAAAAACCAAACCAACCTTCAAACCCATTACCCACCCAAACCCTCCATCCAGAGCAAACACAAGAACCACCACCACAAAATGGACGCCCAAGCCTACCTAATCAAGCACGGCTGGTCCGGTCCCGGCAACCCGTTAAACCCAAACAAACGACCCGGCGCACACAGCGGCCTAGGCCTAACCCGACCACTGCTCGTCTCGCGAAAAACCAACAACCACGGCGTGGGCAAGAAGACAACCAAAGACCCGACGAACCAGTGGTGGTTGCGCGGGTTCGAAGACGCGCTGAAGGGCGTCGGGAATGACAGTTTCGAGGCGACCTCTGCGCGCGAGAACAATGCGCTGACGAGCGAGCTTTATCGGCATTTTGTGAGGGGGGATGGGTTGGCTGGGACGCTTGAGGGGAAGAAAGACGAGAGCGCGTCTACTTCTACCTCTACGTCTACGTCCACCTCCAAGTCAAAGCGCAAGCGGGAAAATGAGGACGAGGGCGAACGCAAGGCTAAGAAACTGGCCAAGGCTGCGCGGAAGGTGGAGAAGGCGCAGAGGAAGGAGGCGAGGCGTGTGAAGAGGGCTGCGAAGGCGGAGCGGAAGGAGAAGAAGATTGCTGGGAAGCTTGCGAAGAAGGCTTTAAAGGAGAAGAAGCGGACTGCTTCTGAGGAGGATTATCCAACGCCCAGGTCGATTGATCAGGAATCTGATCTGACTGGGGCGGAGACTACGGGGACGGATGAGGCTATTACGCGGTTAGAGGAGAAGGCGGCGAAAAAGGAAAAGAAGGAGAGCAAGAAGACTAAGAGCATAGGAGATAATGTGGGCGCTGAAGACTCGAAAAAGAAGTCTAAAAAGGAGAAGAAGGATAAGAAGGAAGCTAAGGCTTGATGTGTCCATTTCGTTGTACGCATTTTGATATTGAGCGCTTCACATGCATGTCAGGACCAGGTACAAAATTCTGCATATACCTGTTTTTCTCTTACGCCTAGAAATCAAGATACCCTTTTTGTTTGGCGAAATCTTGACTATTGCAACCATAGGAAATGTAGAGGTCTTTTGATTTGTGTTGGAGCTAAGCTACGCTGGTAATTTTCCAGGAGTACCTGATAGAATCCACGGTCGTTTCTCCCAGAACTCATCTTTGATGATGTCGACATGGTCAACCACGACCTGTGCTTTCCGGCGCAGTTTGCGGATCTTGTCTTGCTGTGACCTTGACTGCTTAGACTCGACCACCGGTGATTCTTCGCCTGCAGGTGATTTTGTAGGCTTTGGTTCCTCCAGCTCGTACTGTAGAGAAATATTAGAACGGCCGAAACAGAAAGAAACACATATAAACTAGGACATACCTGGCGATAAAGAACAGTGCCCTTTTTATAGATCTCCAGCTCGTTATTGTAGTTGATTCCAAACCGCTTGAAGAGAATCTCGTTCTTGTCGGCAGACACAGTACCCTGGTATCAAGTCAATTGCCTGTAATTCGAACTGAAAGAACAATAGCATACCTTTAGCTCTTGCTCGGCGTCTGTATTGCTCATTCCACCTTGCAACACCATTGTCCAGAAGGTAGTGTTGTAGAGGTTATTGATATGACCTAGTGATATTAAGTTAGCCGGATGTAGTCCGAAAAGGGAATTGGGAGCCACTTACAATCAACCTGTCTCCAGCTCATATAATCGCGGAGAATTTGGTTATTCGGGTAGATGACCGCACGCCCATCGAAAGAGGGTAGATACGGTGGCAGGAGAGGTCTTTCGGGGAAGAACTCGCTCCATTTGTAAATGTAGTGTGCTGTGAATGTAGAGACGATGGTGGTCACTAGTTTCCTGGATGGAAGAGGTTCTATCAATGGCCGTTCTTATACCACTGAGATATAAGCAAAGAAGAAATACTCACCCATTGCGCCGCTCAAAAAGTTGGCAGTTAGGATGGAAGACAAAACTGAAGGAAGACTGTTAGTTAATGCAAGGATAGCGATGAAACGAGCTGGACATACCTGAATTCGTCACTGACTCCATAGGCGATACATAGGTCCGGAAGCTCTTTCATGACCTCAACCGCCGCAGCATTCATCAGATCCAGTGCTCGGCGGTCATTGGGTTTCGCGAAAGCGTAGTGATCAGAGAGTCTATATAGGTTAGACTCCGAACAGAAACGAGAGCATGAACTAGAACAGCAGTCATAGCATCATATCTTGGTGAGATATACGCATAGAAGACGGATATATAGTTGCCATTTTCTTCTTCTATGAAGGTTCCTCATGCAAAGGGCATTCCCAAATAACAAGACATGGAGACTCACTTGTGAAATCCTCGTCCATCAATGCGGACCACAATCCACGTATTGGGGAGCAGCACGTCCGGCTGCTCAAAGGACTTGACGTACTCAAATCTGTGTTCATTTAGTAGCCGGACTGAAATTTTCTAGAATTTCCAGTGCTTACCTAGAGTTCGCCATTTTTAATCTACTGGACTTTGATGTTAAGTGATGAATGTCCAGAGATTGAAAGTGTCATTTTGTGCGATTTCTGCCCGCCCGCATTTGCCCCAACTCGAAGGTTTTAGATTTTGAGGACTTGAAGTGATTTGATTAGGATAATGCAATAATTTCTTGTGAAGACCAGATATACTACAATTTCTAGATACATCCAGATGACTATGTAAAATCAAAAATCCGCAAATAAAACTAATATGTTGTTGAGATGCATATCAAAAACCTTCAGGGAGGATGCTTAAGAATCTAGGAAATGAAAGTGAAAGGACAAACCAAGATGGTCTATAGATAATGTGAGATACATGTGAGAATCATGAGTTCTCAATCTCAGGAATCTCTTCATCGCCAGCTTCACTGGCTCGCTCGCTAGTCTCGCTGGCCTTGTCAGACTTGCGAGACTTACGAGAAAAGAATCCCAAGCTGCTGCGGGTGGAGCGATCGGCGGATGTCACACTTGAGACAGTGCTATCGACACTCTTGCCGAGCTGCGCTTCGCTGGTGGCATCCTCGTCAATATCACCTTGCGAGGATTCACCTTTCTTAGAGAAAAGTCCCGAGCGATCCTTCCAGGAGCTGAACTTGCTGGAACTACCCTTGCGCGTGATCTTGCGAATGAACGACTCCTTGGAGGCATTGTCCAAGGAAGTAGCAGATGGCATGCGCTCCAACGATTCATATGAATCGCCAGTGAAAAGGGATACGGAGCGAGATGTGCGAGACTCCGAAGGAGATCCATCGAACTCGTGAAGACCAAAGGGACTATCGGGATCATTGCCCTTGTCTGCGTCTATTTCCGACTTCTCGCCCGTGAGAACGGCCGTGAATGCCGGAGCAGCGGGATTCAGCTTTGGGGTCAGCGGCCGATGAGAAGACGACGGACGAGTGCCAATCGGTGCCTGGAGCGGTCGATGATGACGATCAAATGTGTCCCCCACGAAATCAGGCTCGCCGGTTAGACCGAGAGGAAGGTGACCTGACGATCCATACTGGATTGAAGGCCGTCGAGAAGGAGCTCGAGACCAATTGGATGGCGCGGCCCAGTCAAATCCGAGCGGGCTGTTGCGGTGCCCAGCATTATCAGTCGATGGCCACCCGAAATGGCGGTTGTCCGTCGAGGGGTGTGGAAGTTGATTTGGTGTGTCGAATGAGGTCGACGAAGGTCGCGGGGACAGAGAACCGCGCCGAACGCCACCAAGAAGCGATGATGGATCAATAGGATCATGTCGCGGACTAAATTGATTGTATCCACTGCTAAGATCGGGATCCCCACGGGTGCCAGCACCGCCGAAGCCAAACTTGCTGGATGAGAATATATTTGAGAAAGCAGCTCGCCGGGAGGGCGCATGATCAGAAGAGCTGTCCATGGTAACGCCAGTCGTGTTGCTTCGAGGGAACAATGACATCGGGTTTGCCCAGTTACCGGTGTAGCTCGATCGCCGCCGGCGCGCACCGATTGGATCCAGCTCGTCAATATTCCGAGGGAAGGATTGACTCTGACCAGGTTTCAAAGATCCCAGCATAGGAGACTCATCTGCCAGGGTTTTTCCACGAGGCCGGTGAAACCCGAAAAGACCAGAAAGCTTTCGGGATGCGCTTTTCGGGGCTTCTCCAGCAGTAGACAAATGAGCACCTTGGGATTCGTCCCGCCGATTTTGAGTCTCTAGTGGGCTGGCAAAGATACTGCCGGCTCGACTGTCCGAAGAGACAGGCGATGCTGGGCCGTGACCGAAGCTATCCAAAGTAGTACTGGTCGCCTCCATGGTTGCAAATCTTGGACGAATTATAGATCGTGGGAATTCTGGCGATTCCTCGTCTCCAAGGAGATCGGATGGCAACAGGGCATCCGCACGGGGACTCATTTGCGGGTTATTGAAAGCAAGTTCCGTATCCGAGCGCATGATCTCAGGTGGATCAGACAGGCCTGTAAGGGCCATACCGTTATTGATATTGAAAAACGCAGAGCTCGGAGGGAATGTAGGCGAGTGACCGGACGGGTTGTAGTTGACGCTATTTGAAAACGAGGTTTCGACTGCCGGGAAGTTCAAAGGGGAAGACATATTGCTGTTGAGTGAGCTGCGATGGCGACGGGGCCGAATGGTGGCAATATTCGACATATCGAGATCCAAGGTCGGGAAGGCAAAGGGCCCTGAGCTGCCCGGTCGTTGGGCTGTGAGCCACTTTAGACGTTCTTGGGCTTCTTGATATTGTTGCTGGGCTTGCGCGTGCAGATTCACAAGTGTGGCATAACGTGCGTGTAGGTTGCCCAGCTTGTGCTCCCACTGACGAGCTCGCTCGTTGTCGATCCGATCCAGCTCCTTGCCATCTTCACTATCGCCTTCTTGTAATCCCATTCTTTCTTCTTCGAGCTTCTTGACCCGTCCTCCTTTATCCTGGATCTCATCGTCGATGGTCTTCATCTCCGCCTGTTCTTTTGCAATCTTGGCTCGGACCTCATCTGCACGCACCGCCCCTTCTTCTTCAATTCTGGCCTTGTCATCCTTTGCCTGTATAGCATCGGAGTTCATGTGTGAAATCTTCTCCTGCCATCGCAAGATGTCATTCTTGCGCTTCTTGCGCTCCGCCTCTTTCTGCTGAAGGAGTCTCATGCGTTTTGACTTTTCGCCCTGTACAGTTCGGTTGACGCTCTCGAGCTTGTAGACATGCTTTTTCAAATCGCCACTTGCTTCATCCTTCTCCCTGACGCGCTTCCGCAGCTCACTGCGCTGTTTTTCAAGGTCCTTCAGCAGTGCAATATGCTCTTCTTCCTCCTCTGCCCCCTGCTTCTCCACATTCTCGTTCTCGTGCTGCAACGACTTCAAGCGGTCTGCCAATTGCTCCAAAGTCTCATCCTTGGCAGTTCTGGCTCTGCTTTTGAGTGTCTCTTCGAAATTCCCGTGTGAAACGTCCCCAGTCGCGGGCGAACTTTTCCGTCCGGCCGAGGGCCGTTTCCCCGGTAATTGGCCTGCGCTATGCTCACGGGACATTATCGGGGCGGATGGAGTCGGCAGACCTACTGTAGACCTGGGGATCGATGCGCGGATAATTGGACCCCCGGCGCTGCCATTCTGCTGGGCTTCGGACAGCGGAAGAGATTTTGTTCGGACATGGAGGATCGCACTGGGTGTGTGAAAGTTTGCGGCACTAACGGAAAGAACACAAATATGATAGATGTTACCCGGCAATAGATTTGATATTTCCACAGCTGTTTCTGCTCGTTTGGATTCACCGACTAGAGACTGTTAGTGCTTTGTTTAGCGACAAGAAGGGATTGTATGTCTTATACCTTTCGTGTTATTCACCTGAATGATATGCTTATGTATTGAGTTATGAAAGTCGGGCTGTTTCCAAGCAAGACGGATTTCACGGGCTGTGATCTCTTCGAGGGTGACCTCTGGCGGCGGAGGAATGTCGAGACCGAGCTTCTCAACTAGGACCTCATTTGAAGTCTGGCAGACTTGCCAGGCACGGTAGAGAAGCCTTGATAAATTGAGTCAGCTGAGCAAAGGGAATGCTGGAACAACCAAGGGACTTACCAGATCAAAGCCCACAAGATCGAGACGGCGAGAAAGAGGGCCATGACGCCTCGCACTCTCACGCGAGGGACCACTGCTGGGTAAGCGTCAAATGCAAAGTATAGGGGCTCATACATCCCAACGTCTGTAACCCATTGGACGTGGGCAGCGGGATACAGGAGAATTGCAAGGATCGCCAATGCTCTCCGGAGTGGGTGGGATAGGCACGTGACCCGGAATATTAGCCACCCAAAATAGGTTAGCGCCACAGCGGAGATCAGCCGCTACGGCATAGACCGCTTAAACGGAGTACGGCCTCTATACTTTGACGGTATGATTTACAGCAGTTGCAATTTCATGATTATAATTGTCCGATATCTTAATATTTTGAGTATATTTTGGATATTTGAGATATCTTTTGAGATGTCTTTTTAGCTGTTTGCTTAATTTATCTAGAATGCCTTCTAGATGCCTTCTCAGTTCCAACCCGTGGAACGGCTGTGTGAGCTTCCATATGTAAGCATCGTCTCATAGCAATATCGTGGCGTGCTATTAAGGATTTTGCCTAGATGATGGTTTTATGTTGTCATTTGCCACTTAAGAAAGAAACCTCAAGCCTATGTTGTACACTCTATAAATACGTGTCTATAGTTCGCGTGTATATACCAAACCTTGAATCTACTAAGACGATTATGTTATATGAAGACGTTCTTCCTTCTACAACTCCAACATACGAGTATAAGGGAATCCAGGATTCTCTCCAGATCCTAGACCGGGAGCTGGAGGATTCATCTAACCCTTATATTGTCTTTATTATCGATGAGCGTTCCTTCCTTGATTGTTTTGAGAATTCCGAAGAAGGACTACTTAGAACATCATGGGATACTTACGACCCTTCTAGCAACCGTCTTGTTGTTAGGATGCAGACCATAATACATTCATCCGCAAGCGGTTCTTTTGCCAGCATATTTAGTTCTTGGCCTAAGGACGACAATTACCGACTTATACCCATGACCAAAGCATCAGTGAGAGGCCAGTCGGGGATGAATAAACAGGCGGATTACTCATGGACCCCTATACAATCAGGCCGCTTGAAGGAATTTCCGACTATGGTAGTCGAAATCGCGTGGTCAGAAACACGGACAAAGCTTGTTGAAGATATGAACTTTTGGCTATCCCAGTGTTATGGAGAAGTTAGAACCGCACTCTCGATCACAGTGCATGCTCGTGGAAAGATCACTATTGAGAAATGGGAGCTTCAAGGCGCGACTCCTATTCCATCCCACCCAGAAAATGGAGATCGTACGAAAACCCGCACCAAAATGCGAGAGGATCCAAGGGCACCTCCACCTCGCTCTTGAAGATATTAATCTTCAACCGAAAGGGGAAAAAGACACAGATTTCATCCTGACACCCCGCGATATGGAAACACTTGCAACCGGGGTTTGGGCTTTTCAGTTTGATACTTGAGCTTCCGCGGGACAACTGGTTCCGCGTTCCGAGGTTGTCCGCCTGCTCCAAGTGTCACATGGTTCAGTTCAACTTCCCCGATTCTCCAACAACTTGGTCTCAGTCTTCTTCTTTTTGTCCCTCTGCATTTCTAGAATTTGCTTCGGATTGGAAAACTTCACTCCCAGCTGTCAAAGGTGCTAGACACCCATTTGGCGGGATGCAGCTCTATCGCTCTATAAGCGGTTCTGTCTCCAAGACATGGAATTCTATCAATCCGGCCACTCTTAGCGGGGCTATTGATGTCATTGTCATAGAGCAAGAAGATGGTATTTACAGTTCCCCGAGAGGCGAAATTCACGATAACTGATTTGGCTTTTCTCTTCAAGGCACCCTCGCTTGTTCGCCCTTTCATGTCCGGTTTGGCAAGTTTTCGCTATTACGTCCATTCGAGAAGAAGGTGGAGTTCAACGTGAACGGGATAAAACAAGACTATGCCATGAAATTAGGAGAGGGTGGCGAGGCATTCTTCATCTTTGAAACGACCGATGACATCCCCGCATCCTTGCAGACCTCGCCGTTGGTATCTCCAGCAGCCAGTCCAAGAGCCCAGAGCGAACCGGATCTTCTACCTTCGCTGCAGGAACCAGACTACCTTGACCTAGATAAAGAAAGCGGGGATGCATTGTCGGAAGGCGCAAAGACCCCGCCGGCGATGGGGATGCCGTTACGGGCAAATACGGACATGGGTAAGACACATCTCCAACACTTAGTTTCGATCTAAGTCCCTCGACTGACCGTTTCAATAGGGACAGTAACACCCTTATCGCCATCTCTCGATGAATCCAACGTGGCCCGTTCACGGCACGGCTCCTTGAGCGATAAACCGCCGCTTGATCATACACTCTCGGAAAACGTGCTCTCGACCAGCTCTCCTCAACAATCTCTCTCCGGCCAATCTGCAAATGGGAATGATGAACCCCGTGATATTGATATCGAGGGCGAAACACAGCGTCCTCGTAGTCCTCCTCTGTCTGCCCAGGAAGCGGTCTCTCGAGCCATTTCGCTGTCAAAGAAGCTGTCTGGTTCTAATATTCCATCACATGTCACCGAGACCGGGGATCTAATGTTGGATATGACTGGTTACAAAAGCAACGAAGAAGATGCCCTTCGCGCGGAGGTTGTTGCACGCAAGATTCTTGCGGAAGAGCTTGAAGGAAGCTATGATATCGGTGCACTGATTGGAGCCGATGAACATGGTAATCTATGGATATACAGCAGCGAAGAGTCCAAGGAAATGGCCGATCGGAGAGCCACTCTTCACTCCATGCGACCAAACATAGCGATGAGCGATGATGCTCTCTCCGACCCAGGATATCATAGCGAAGGCGAAAACGCTGTTTTGGAACCAGCATTGACTACGCGCCATCACCGAACCAAATCAGATGTTCAACCCGGCTTTCCCACACCCCCAGATTCACCCTTGCATGAGTCTTACCCCATCGAAACCCGCAACTATGCCAAGACACTTCGCTTGACAAGTGATCAACTTAAGGCCTTGGAGCTGAAGCCCGGCGCCAACACAATGTCTTTCAGCGTCAACAGAGCAATTTGCACTGCAAACATGTATTTGTGGAATGGCAATACTCCGATCGTGATTTCTGATATTGATGGAACTATCACCAAATCAGATGCGTTGGGACATGTTCTCAATATGATCGGACGCGATTGGACGCATACGGGAGTTGCCAAGTTGTACACCGACATTGCCAACAATGGGTACAATATTATGTATCTTACAAGTCGATCTGTAGGCCAGACTGATACTACACGAGCCTATCTTCACGGCATTTGCCAAGATGGATACAGACTACCAAGAGGTCCTGTGATCTGCAGCCCCGATCGCACGATGGCCGCTCTGCGGCGGGAGATCTACTTGAGAAAACCCGAAGTTTTCAAGATGGCATGTTTGCGGGATATTCTCAACCTCTTCTGCGGCAAAGAGAATCCCTTTTATGCCGGCTTCGGAAATCGATTAACAGACGCATTGAGTTATCGTTCTGTGAACATTCCGTCTACTCGGATTTTCACAATCAACTCTAATGCTGAAGTGTCTCTGGATTTGCTTAGTCTGAATAAGTACAAGAGCAGTTATGTGACCATGCAAGAGCTGCTCGACCATTTCTTTCCACCAACTAGCCTTCTTGTACACGACGGTGGCGAGGAATATACGGACTTCACATACTGGAGAAACACACCGCATGAGATCGCAGACTTCTCGTCAACAGATAGCGAGGATGAAGACGAGGAAGATGTCGAAGAAGAACTAGCCGAAGAAGAAGAGGAAGAAGAGGAAGAGGAGGAAGAAGAAGACTACGATGAAGAATTAAGCGATGGTGAAGGCAGCGAGTACCTTGATGAGGCTGAGTTGGCCGAGGGCGATCTCGGCGCAAGCTACATCTCGCAGGACTCGGTTGCCTTGTCCAACCAAGCAGCCTCAATAATTGAGGCAGTGGAAGGCGATATAGGTGCCGAAGAAGGGGCTATCGGTGAAGAGGAACTGTCTCCCGTCATCGAGAAACCACAAGAAACAACCGAACCGAGCACAACCGAACTTCCCATCCGGTCCAAGATACCGCAAAATCTTTGAACATACACCCACCACTATGTTTTTGCTAAGGCATCGATCCCTGGGCATTTCTTGCGTCATAGATACCCGTCTGCGAGTGCTTTACTGAGTCAGATTCTGCATTAGACTTCCCTGACAGCGATATATCCACGTTCAACACTATTTCATGCAGACATGGAGTTGGGGACTACATTATACACGGCCGCTCGTGCCCGACTCTTTTTAGTTCATGGCGTTTCTGCATTTGTTTTTGGTACATTCATGGCGCACATACATAGGATCATGAGAATGGGATGTAATGAATGGAACAAGTGAATAGTCTTGCTCAAACACAATGAAGAGCCTGATATATTATCCGAGGGTGATCTACAATCTAATATAGTAAAAGCATTATGTAGATTTGACCGTTTGTTAAAGTGATTTAGTTCACTTGTGACTGCAGGCAGGCGACGCGATTACCTAAGCGTGATATTGGCTGAGCCCTGGAGCTCATGCTTCTTTTCGGCCTCATTTGGCCATCACTTACTCTCTCTCCATCACACATTAAACGCTACTTGCATCTTTGGCTGTTTCCTAGCCTCTGAGAATTGTGCCAGGAATGCTGCCCGACTACATTTCCCAGGCCGTCTAATCATCACATAATTCAACATCTTGACCACTTTCGCAACAGTGCAATTCGCTCTTTCTTTCCTACTTGATCTTTGATCAGCAATCCAAGATAAAATGGCATCTCCAAGCCAACCACAGGGCCCAGCACCCATCACACAACCTCTCACACCACCCGCCGAATCCTCCGTCACGAACGGGACCTCCGCGCCCGCCGCAACAAGCTCCCACACCCAACCCCATGTCCCAGCAACGGGCGCTTCAACAACAGCACCACAACCGCCTGCAGTCCCCGGGATATCAACCCAAGACAGCGGAAAAACGCGACGACCAAGGGACGTGCGGCTGGTCCACATGCTCCTCGCCTCACTCGGGGTAACCTCATACCAAGACCGGGTGCCCCTCCAATTGCTCGACTTCGCCTACCGCTACACTGCTAATGTGCTACAAGACTCCGTGCACCTCGCAACGGAAGGATACGCCGCGGCAACAGACGGTACCGCGGGCGCAAAGGGCTCCGGCGAAGTAAATAGCGTTTCTCTGCCCGCATTGCGGCTGGCTATTGCCTCCCGCTTGCACTTCCAGTTCCAGACAGGGCTGCCGAAGGAGTTCCTCATGGAGGTTGCGTCGGAGAGGAATCGTATCGCTTTGCCCGGTGTATCGCGGGGCTTCGATCCTGCTGCTGGTGTTAATGGCGCTGTTCCTGCGGCGAATCAGAGTGTTCTTATTGGTGGCATGCGCTTGCCTCCTGAGCGCTTCTGTCTTACTGGAATGGGGTGGGATTTGAAGGAGGAGTGGGATAGTGAGGGTGAGGAAGATGAAGTGCTTGATGTGATGCACCAGCCTGGGGCTGGGAAGGGCTTTGGTGGTGATGGAGCTGAAGATAATGAAGACGAGGATGAAAATGATGGCAAGATGGAGGATCTCTTCGGCGAAGATACCACCATGGGCGAGGCAGGGGATGGAGATGAGGACCGGAAGATGACTGATGTTTAAGGGAGTGCATTTACGTCAGGGGCTTCTTCTGTCTTTGGTCTCGGGCTGGTGGTGTTTCTGGCGCTTGGTGTTGTTCTCATTTTTCTCTCTAATCTGCCATCGGACAGGGTCCTGGTTGTACTATCACGGAGAGCATCTATTTCATGACTTGTGTCTACAAATTGGGGTAAAAGTCCCCTCGCCTGACCATAGAGGCAAATAAACCGATAAAGAAGACAACTTTCGGTCAATTAAACCAAGATATGCAATCGTCTGTGTATATTGTACATAATTTCCATCCCATCGCTCCGCATTCGGGATGATCATGCAATGTAATAAAGATGCCCAGCAAAACGCCTGCTTTGTTTGCCTGTGTGCGCCGTGAGGAGAGAGAGAAAGATATAAGGTCCGAGTCCGAGTTAGCCAGGAAAGTCCAGGGCCGACATCCCCGGCGGGATCAGTCTGATATCTGTCCATCAAACCGATGACGGGTAGCAGGCCGGGAGGGGCTGCCGGACTGTAACATGCAAGACCCAGCCAATCAGGCAGTCAGGCCAGGAAGAGTCCAACAGCTCTTTCCCCCTCGCCCAAACACTCAGCCCAAAGAGGAAAATCCTCGCATCCCGACCTCGGAGAAACGCAAGAAGCAGAATACTCAAGACGCCGAAACCCATATAAACAAGAAATACTCACACAAGAAATGAAGAGAACGGGGGCGGGAGGGATACATGGAGTAAATAGGAAGAGCTCCAATCATTTTTCCGCCGCTCGTGTCCGCGCCTCATCCTCGCGCATCATGCGAATAACTTCCGCACGACGCTTCTCAACGCGTGCAAGATCATCCTCACGCGCGCGTCGCCGTTCCTCATACCCCGCGAACCACTCCTCACGTGCGCGATCCTCTTCTTCCGGCTTCGCGTGGGCGACCATGCATGAATTCATTGCGAGACGTTGCTGGCGGCAGACCCATGTTGCAGTGACGGTGCGGTTGACGGCGCACTCGGCAAATGCTATATCATAGTTGGGTTAGTTGGTTGTTTCAGACATGTTCGAGGTGTGGGGAGTGGATCATGGTCATGCGAGCCGGAGTTGCTTCTCCGCTTGAAACTCATGACCGGCTTCTGCAAGCTCAAGCTATGCACTATTTGGAAAGAGGTGATGTATTTGGCGTAGGAAGCAACGTGAATTGTATACCTTTAATTTCGGGTGCGCAATGGGCGCGTACTCGCTTGTAGTACAGCAGTTTCACTTCTTGTTCTTGGGGGGCTGAGAGCGGAAGCGGATTGCGAAGATTATATTTTTTGGGTGCACTTGTTGAAGAGGTATCGGGGGATGTGGAAGACGTAGCCATTGGGACTGTAGATCGATCTCAAGATCGAAATTGACGGGGCTGAGTGTATGGACTGGTCGACCGGAGAGTTTGCTTTGAGGGGGATTGGTCCCGGTTGTTGAGGGACAAGATATGAGTTCGGCTGCTCCGGAGCCTAATAAAACGAATCGAAGAGGTAGAAGTAGTTTCAAGAGGGGTTCATCGAATGGCTTTACAGAGAAGATCGAGGCTAGGTGGGAGTGTTGATTGCGAGTGAGCCGAGCTCGGGCGGAGAGAATGTTAGTTACTATTGGCAGAATCAGAAAAAAAAGTTCTCCGACTTTGCATCTCGATACAACTCTTCTGCTAGAGACATCTGCGTCTTTTCGCTCTTTGCGTTTTTGTTTCTTCTACACTTTCTTGTGCTCTATTTATTGTCTCGGGAATTATCAACATCAAAACTCAGCATGTCGTCCATGCGCAACGCCGTCCAGCGGCGGAACCACAAAGAGCGTGGCCAGCTCCAGGGCCGCGAGAAATGGGGTCTCCTCGAGAAGCACAAGGTTAGTTCCTGAGAAGGAGGTCTTGGAATATTTACCAATGATTCAAGCTTTCTCTCATGCGTAGTTTTAAGACAAACATTCTAACTTCAATAGGATTACTCGCTCCGTGCCAAAGATTACAATGCCAAGAAGGCTAAGCTGAAGCGCCTCGAAGAGAAGGTGCGGGATCGCAACCCCGATGAGTTCGCCTTCGGTATGATGGGAGAGAAGAACCGGACCCAGGGTCGGCACGGACGTGGCAAAGGCACAGCACGAGACTCTGCCGCAGCGCAGGGACTGAGCCACGAGGCAATCAAGCTGCTCAAGACGCAAGATAAGGGTTATCTTCGGACGGTTGGCGAGCGGGTACGCCGCGAGATTGAGCGCCTGGAGCGCGACGTGAAATTGCAAGATGGCATGAACAAGGTCCTTGGCAAAAAGGATGGGAAAAAGGACGAGAGCGACGATGACGGGTTTGACGACGACTCCGATTTCGATTTCGGGGCGCCGGTGCAATCGAAACCAACCAGGGTGGTGTTTGCCGATGATAGACAAGACCAACTGGCAATGAAGAAGCAGAAGATACAAAAAGAAGAACCTGCGCTAGATTCAGAGGAAGAAGAGCAGACGTCAAGCAAGACCCGCAAGACACCTAAGCAGCTTGAGGCTGAGCGGCAAGCGCTTGTGGATGCTCGGCGGGCTCGCAAGCTCCGGAAACGAGCCATCGAGGCCCGACACAACAAGCTGACTGCGTTGCACAAGCAGTACGCCGAGATTCGGACCGCAGAGCAAGAGCTTGATTGGCAGCGGGCTAAGATGGAAAATTCCGTGGGAGGCACCAACAAGGACGGAATCAAGTGGAAGATCCGTGAGCGCAAGCGCTAAGTGTTTTTTAGTGTTTTCGTTTCGACGGAGTTTATGAGTGATGACTGCTTATCATCTTTTTTGTACATATTGATACCAACCACCATAGAGGCAGTCCGGCGCATACAGTAGCATCCAAGGAACCCACTTCAGTCTTGGCCATCGACTCCTGGAAAAGCTCGATAACATCAAGCCTGTCTCAGGCATTAGCTGGAAGACTCGTGACAAGACATCGCCGCTTATACGGGTAGATTTGACCATCATATCCTGGCTATATCTACATCTAGGTGTGGTTAGTTGTTGAAGTAATATCAACAGGTTCTCTTTTTGTCCTTCTGTCCTTCTGTGTTAAATTCTGAATGAATGTCTATACACATTCCACAAAGGGTCCAATTCTGTACTCCCTACAAACCATCAAGGAACATCATGACCGATATAGCTATCTCTTGAGCGAGTCTCATACAGCAGGCTTACAACGTGTTCCGCTGAAGCGGGCAATATGTGTGGTCTCATTACCGCCTAGTTCAATTCCATCCAATTTCAACATCATTTGCGCATGTACTGTATTGCTCGGCTTCTTACATTCAAGCTCCCGCTTCTTGATATCAGCTGTCTCTGAAAAGGGCCGTTTGTGAATCGAGGTTTGGTCCAGTGATCGGGATGCGCCTTGAGAAGCGTTTCTTTTTCTCTTAGGTCTATCTTCAAGGACAGCCTCCTCTGAGGAA